TGAGCCAGACCAGTTAGGGCAAAAAATAGATTTTTATTGGTTTCAGAGAGAAAGGGAGAGGAAGAGAGAGAGATAGAAACATCAATGATGAGAAAGAATCATGGATCGGCTGCCTCCTGCACACCCTATACCAAGGATCAAGCCTGCAACCTGGGCACATGCCCTGACCAGGAACCAAACCGTGACCTCCTGGTTCATACTGTTACGCCCAGACTTCGTGATCCCTAAGGACCACCAGGGAGCCGAGTCCGATGCAATAAACAAAAGAGCCTTCTCCATGCTAGCATGGGCTCCTCCCCCCCCACACCGGCAGCATGGTGGAAGAGAGAGAGAATTTCTCCCAGTCCAGGGGTTTTACTCCGGTCAGTGGTGATGTCACTGCCTCGGCTAACCCTGATTGGTTGGGTGAGAACTAGGGATAACTCCACCCTGTGGGGCGAAGTTAGGAGCTCATCCTCACCCCGCCCTGCCCTCTCATTGCCCCCTTGTCTAATGTGCCTAGTCAAATCTTGACTCAGCCTACTTCCTTTCAGCATAAACAACAAATACAGTTACCAAGACCCTTAGTACCACAATTCCCATCAGTATTGTCCTCACTGAAGTCCAGTTCCCCTCCTGCAGGCATCAGTTCTCCTCCTGGCCTCTAGTTGCCAGGATCCAGGCCATGCAGGAGCTGGGAGTCATGTAGTCAGGTCTGGGTGCCAACTACTTCAACAGCAGTGGGCATGCTCAGGATAACAGTGCAGCATCCCTTTGAGTCCTTGGGCAGCGAATTTCTTTACCCACATTGAGTTCCGGGGCTACAGGATCTGCGGTGGGCACTGGCAGTGCATCTGGAACAAGCAAACTGCAGAGCCTGTAAGGACTTGAGCAAGGAAATGGTTACCATACATGATCCCCTCCCAAAAAAGGGGAAACTTGTCCCAGTAAGGGGTACACCTGGCCCTCAAGAGGGCAAAGGACAGGGGGTTGGTCCAATTTTCACCTATTCTAAGACACATTTAGTTAAACCCCCTTTTCCAGAGTCTCGCCTGTCCTAAGGCTAGAGCTATACTCTGAGATACCTTAGCTACCAAGGTGGGGCTGTTATCTGATAGTGGGGTATACCTCAACCTAATCTGAAGTGTCTATAAAAACTAGACCTTAATGCTGGTGGTTTAATCTCTGAAATCCACCTACCAATGCTCTCCTGGGGAGGTTCCCTGGGACCCGAATTCCCAGGGGGGATCCCCTTACCTTGCTTAGCATTTACCTGTGCACAGACAGTACTTCTAGCCAACTCTGCCTCACAGAAGTTCAGAAGTCTTGGTGACACTTAACCTGGTGTCACCTGGCAACTCTGACCTAGAGCCTCTGGGACCAACAGTCTTGTCGTCTGGAGGGTCTATCAACCATCTGGTCCTTCAGTGGCTTGCTTCTGTTCAGCCAATTCCTTCTGGCTGCAGTTGGTAACCCTCTTTCCTCTGTGAATGGCACAGTGTCTCCATCAAAGGGCCTGGATTAAGGCCAAAAGTTCTGGAACTGTGCCCAAATGGTGTGGTCCAAGGTGACTACCACTGCCCCTGCATATCAGGTCTCATCCTGAACGTAACTGCTCCCATCCGTGAACAGTACCTTGTCGTCTGTTACCTTTGTGCAGTCATGAATGGGTTCCATCATCATCATCTGGAAGCAGGCCAGCAGGGTTGATGGCCAGAGTCTTATGAATCCGGACACAGGGCTGGTCCAGGAGAAAAGCCTGACCCATCCAGGTTAGCTCCTGGTCCAGAGTCCACTTATCTGCCTCCTTCACCAGCAATGCTGTGATGGCCACTGCCTGGAAGCACACTGGCTACCCTGCTACCACAGGGTCCAGTCTCTTAGACAGATAGGCAACAGGTCTCTTCCAGGGACCTAGAGTCTGAGTGAGAACCCCTTTGGCAATGCCTCTTACCTCACTCACGTAGAGGTGGAAGGGCTTCGCAATGTCCGGCAAGGCTAGGGCAGCTGCTGAGATGAGAGACTTCTTTAGCTCCTCAAAGATCCGTTGTTCCACTTTGGACCAGTTCAACAGCTGCATTCCCCCAGTATGTGTTCCTTCCGAGGACCACAGTCCTTCTTGATGTCCAAGGAAAACAGGCAGTTTGTCTGGTGGCTTCCTGGGCTGATGTACGGGTCCTATTGGCTCTCTCAAGACTAAATAGGCTGCCCCAATGCCCATCAGGAAACTAACAGGCTTGCCTCTCCTAGCTAACCTGTCAGGACATACTCTTTATAACTTTTATAAAAATCTTATCTTACAAAAATACATAACCATGCTTCAAATTTTAAAGAAAAAGCAAGGGAGGAGGGAGCAGGTCCAGCACCTGTTCCCAGGCCTCCAGCCGCTTGAATTTTAAAATGCCACATTTTTTTTTCTACAGATACAGATCTATCTGCATTTCTAAGCCCCCTCACACCCCACCCCCCACCCCCGGCAGAACATCGGTGAAAATTGTCCAAGCAGTCGCAGGGGGTTAAATCATACAAATAATTGTTTTCACATTGTTTTAACACAATTCTAAATAATAAACCTTTGTGATGAAGTCTACTTAAATCTATAAAGTAGATACACATGACTGAAACCAAAAATGATTCTCAAAGTTTAAACAAAATACAAGATGCAGGTACAAGCCAAATTCAACAATGGCATATGAGAAAAGCAAAACAAACAAATCAAATATAAAAGTTTCATATGTTACATTAAACATTACTTTAGGAAAAACTGACTTAAAAAAATACTGCATCACTGACTTAAAATAATTTTTTAAGTGTAAGATTACATACTTTTCATCTGACAAATGAGAATAAATCAACCCTTGAGATCTTTGATCATTACTGCTTATTCATAACACATAAGCCTGTCATATTCTAGGCATCTAGTTACTGCAATTAACTTTTCCTAATTCAATTTATACTTTGAACTTTCAAAGCTGGCAAGTCAAATAAATTTGGCATTTCTTAGATTAATAACATTACATTTTTAATACATCTTGCTTACTTAGGGTAAAGTTTTAGCAACACATTTTTTTCAGCATTCAAATGCAAATGAACACATTCTTTAGCTGAAGACTCCCGGCCATTCACCACCATTCACATAAACTTGTTACCATTACCATCTAGTTTCCGCCCCATGGCGGGGAATTTCAAAAGCTGCTTACAATGTCTTGGGAAACTAGTTTAATTTATCTCCCAGTTTTAAAGCTCATTCTGTACACAGAAAAGTTTTAAGCACAGCCCAAAACTATGCGCACTCGTTTTGAACTGGCCTTTTTCTTTACTGAGCACAGAGATTTGCCCTTGAGCTCTTCTCCGTTACCGGTGCCAGATGCCTCCATGCCGGCCCAGGCCCCTCGGGCCCAGGCCACCAGAGCGAGGCTGCTTCAGCTGCCCCAGCCACCCTATTCAGGCAGCCCCCAAGGAGAAAGCGCGGGTCGCCCCAGTGGCTTCCCGGCTCCACTTTCCCTTCCCCAGGCAGCCAGCAAATTAACCCAGGTGCCTGCTCCCCGAGCAAGGCCACCACTGCCCAGCCGCACTCTGACACGCAGACTGAGCCCCGCGGGAGCCCCCCCTCCGACCCAACGCCACCAGGGGGCCCCCCGCACCGCCACGCAGGCCACACTTCGCCGGCTCCATCCTCGGGCGCCATTTCGCTCGCAGATACTGAACTCAGACCTGGGAAAGGCTCACTTCCCGCAGGTGAGGCAACGGCTCACGCCGCTCATCTCGTCCTGGAGAGGATTCATTCCTCTCCTCACGAGGGTCCCTCTCGGGCCCTCCTGGGAGGTCAGAACGTCTTCTGATCCTCCTGCCCGTGGCCTTCATGGTGCGTCCTCCAGGCGTCTTCGGGCACCAATTCCACGAGGGGTTTTACGTCCCTCCAGAGCGCGCACACACCTACCGCGGCCAGTCAGCCTCTCCGGACCGGGGTCTCTCATGGTCCTGGCTGGGGATCCCGGACGAATTCCCCCATCTGTTATGCCCAGACTTTGTGATCCCCAAGGACCACCAGGGAGCCGAGTCCGATGCAATAAACAAAAGAGCCTTCTCCATGCTAGCATGGGCCCCTCCCATCCACGCCGGCAGCATGGCGGAAGAGAGAGAATTTCTCCCAGTCCAGGGGTTTTACTCCGGTCAGTGGTGATGTCACTGCCTCGGCTAACCCTGATTGGTTGGGTGAGAGCTAGGGATAACTCCGCCCTGCGGGGCGGAGTTGGGAGCTCATCCCTGCCCTCTCAATACGTCAACGCTCAACCACTGAGCCACACGGGCTGGGCCCCTCTCTGCTCTTAAAGGCTCATACGATTACATTAGACCCGCTTGCGAAACCTCCCTTCCTCATAGAACTCTGCATAGTACAGGAGGAATTCTCATCCATGTACAGGACCCCCCCTCCCCCAAGGGTGGGGAGTAGACAGAGGACAGTTACCCATTGCCATGCTGAGCCCTGCGTGCTATGGAGGCCGAGCCTGAGGGCCGGAGGTACAGACCCGGGTCAGAGCGAGAGAACTCGGGGCTGGGGCTGCAGGCTCAAAGTCAGAATAGAACAGGCCTCGTCTGTGTGTGTGTGTGTGTGTGTGTGTGTGTGTGTGTGTGAGGGGGAAATTCAGGACACAGCGTCCAGAAGGATGGCTGCTCTGGCTGGGGTCGGGGGGGTCTCAGCTGGGAAGGAGGCCCCCTGTCCACCCTCCTGGGTCCAGGTCAGACCCAGTGCCCTCCTGTGGGAACTGGCTCGCCTTCAGCTCCAAGGAGGGGTTCGGAAGCTCTAACGGTCACCCGGCCGTGGGGGCGTTGTTCTGAGACTGTGTGCATTTTGCGGGGAAGAGGTTCACAGCTTTTACCAGATTCTCCACGGCGTCCAAGAAAGGAGAGAAAGAAAAAGAAGCAAGGGGTGAATCAATCCATACCCCAAGGGGGGAGGGGCCGGGCTGGCCAGTGTGCCCAGTGGCTAGAGCTTTGGCCTGCACACTGCAGGGTTGAGGGTTTGATTCCTGGCCAAGGGCATGTACCTGGGTTGCAGGTTCACTCTTCACCCCTAATCTTCCTTTCTCTCTTTCTCCTCCCCCTCCTCCCAAAAAACACACAATGGAAAAGTATGCTCTGGTGAGGATTGTATAAACAATACCCAAGGGCTTTATTTTCATGGCTGCCACGCATCACTGGCCCAAGCAGGAGCCACGGAGGACACAGCGGGGTTCTTTAAAGCCCGCTGGCCCTGCAGGATTGGTGCCTGTGGGAAGCAGAGATCCTGAGAGGCTGTGGGGGGGGAGGGGGGGGGCGCAGAGTGTGCAGGCTGTGAGGTCTGCGACTGGGTCACCATCAAATGCTCAGGATCGGGTGCAAGCTCCCTTTCCCAACATGCCTGCTCTGGTCTGAATGTTCGTGCTCTCCCCCTCCCCCTCTGCCCCCACCTCCTTCCCCAATTCATGTTGAAGTCCTAACCCCCAAGATGTTGGCTTAGGAGGTGCCTAGACCATGAGGGTGGAGCCTCCCTGACGGGAACCGGAATCGAATGCCCTTATGAAGAGACCCCAGAGGGCGCCATTGCCCCCTTGCTCAGGGGAGGACACCCCAAAAAGATGGCTGTCCAGGAAGCAGGCCTTCACCAGGCACCTCCCCGCAGTGCCGTGGTCTTTGGCTCCCGTCTCCAGGCCTCTCTATAAGCCGCCCAGCCTGTGGGATTTGCTGCAGCACCTAATGCATGAAGACCCTGCTGCCACCTGCCCTCCCCGGGCCCTCCCAGTGCCCCCTCAGGGGCCGTGCCCCTTGCAGACCAGGAACACTGCCAGAAGGCGGGTCCCTGGCAGCACACTCGCTCAGAGTTGGGGGAAAGGTTTGTGCTGGGGGAGGAGGACTGGGCCTGGCGGTGAGTTTCTCTGTGACCTTGTTCTGGGAAGAGAAGCCCATTTCAAGACCACGCCCTGAAGGAGCACCAGAGCCCGATAAGGTGCACGTCCTTCCGCCCCGACTTTCCTGCTGCCCCGGGGGGGGGGGGGGGGGGGGGCGGGGGGCACTGGCCACGTGGGGCCGTGGCCTGCAGAGCCTGCGCTGTGGTCGGACATGGCCGTTGGCTGCAGAGGCCGGGGGTGGGGCGCGTGTGCAAATGAGACTCCGGCTTTCACACCAGAGCTGCCAGCAGGACTCCCGCCCTCCCACTCTGCCTGCCCACACCTGGGCCAGCCTGTCCGCTGGTGTCCGTGAGCGCCTGTAAGTCAGCTCCCCCAGAGGGGCAGACGCAGAAGCCGGGCAGGGGCAGATCCAGCCTTCCCACTTAGGTTCCTTCCGGCACCCCAACACCACGTGGCTGGGGAAAGAGGCACCCCAACACCACGTGGCTGGGGAAGAGGCACCCCAACACCACGTGGCTGGGGAAGAGGCACCCCAACACCACGTGGCTCGGAAAGAGGCACCCCAACACCACGTGGCTCAGAAAGAGGCACCCCAACACCACGTGGCTCGGAAAGAGGCACCCCAACACCACGTGGCTGGGGAAAGAGGCACCCCAACACCACGTGGCTGGGGAAAGAGGCACCCCAACACCACGTGGCTCGGGAAAGAGGCACCCCAACACCACGTGGCTCGGGAAAGAGGCACCCCAACGCCACGTGGCTCAGAAAGAGGCACCCCAACGCCACGTGGCTGGGGAAAGAGGCACCCCAACACCACGTGGCTCGGGAAAGAGGCACCCCAACACCACGTGGCTCAGAAAGAGGCACCCCAACACCACGTGGCTGGGGAAAGAGGCACCCCAACACCACGTGGCTCAGAAAGAGGCACCCCAACACCACGTGGCTCAGAAAGAGGCGCCCCAACACCACGTGGCTCAGAAAGAGGCACCCCAACACCACGTGGCTCAGAAAGAGGCACCCCAACACCACGTGGCTCGGAAAGAGGCATCCCAACACCACGTGGCTCAGAAAGAGGCACCCCAACACCACGTGGCTCGGAAAGAGGCACCCCAACACCACGTGGCTGGGGAAGAGGCACCCCAACACCACGTGGCTCGGAAAGAGGCACCCCAACACCACGTGGCTCGGGAAAGAGGCACCCCAACACCACGTGGCTGGGAAAGAGGCACCCCAACACCACGTGGCTCGGGAAAGAGGCACCCCAACACCACGTGGCTCGGGAAAGAGGCACCCCAACGCCACGTGGCTCGGAAGAAGGCACCCCAACACCACGTGGCTTGGGGAAGAGGCGGCCCCAACACCACGTTGGCTCGGAAAGAGGCAAACCCCAACACCACTGGATCGGGAAAGAGGCAACCCAACCCACGTGGGCTCGGAAAGAGGCCACCCCAAAACCACGTGGCCCTCAGAAAGAGGCACCCCCAACAACCACGTGGCTCGGAAAGAGGCACCCCACACAACGTGGCTGGGGAAAGAGGCACCGCCAACACCACGTGGCTGGGGAAAGAGGCCACCCCAACACCACGTGGCCTCGGGAAAGAGGCACCCCAACACCACGTGGCTCGGGAAAGAGGCACCCCAACGCCACGTGGCTCAGAAAGAGGCACCCCAACGCCACGTGGCTCGGGAAAGAGGCACCCCAACACCACGTGGCTCGGGAAAGAGGCACCCCAACACCACGTGGCTCAGAAAGAGGCACCCCAACACCACGTGGCTGGGAAAAGAGGCACCCCAACAACCACGTGGCTCAGAAAGAGGCACCCCAACACCACGTGGCTCAAAAGAGGCGCCCCAACACACCACGTGGCTCAAAAAGAGGCACCCCAACCACCACGTGCTCAGAAGAGGCACCCCAACACACGTGGCTCGGAAAGAGGCATCCCAACACCCACGTGGCTCAGAAAGAGGCAACCCAACACAACGTGGCTCGGAAAGAGGCCACCCCAACACCGTGGCTGGGAAGGCACCCCAACACCACGTGGCTCGGAAAGAGGCACCCCAACACCACGTGGCTCGGGAAAGAGGCACCCCAACACCACGTGGCTGGGGAAAGAGGCACCCCAACACCACGTGGCTCGGGAAAGAGGCACCCCAACACCACGTGGCTCGGGAAAGAGGCACCCCAACGCCACGTGGCTCGGGAAAGAGGCACCCCAACACCACGTGGCTGGGGAAGAGGCGCCCCAACACCACGTGGCTCGGAAAGAGGCACCCCAACACCACGTGGCTTGGAAAGAGGCACCCCAACACCAACGTGGCTCAGAAAGAGGCACCCCAACACCACGTGCTCGGAAGAGGCACCCCAACACCACGTGGCTGGGAAGAGTACCCAACACCACACGTGGCTCAGAAGAGGCACCCCAACCCACGTGCTCTAAGAGGCACCCCACCCCACGTGTCTCGGAAAGAGGCAACCCCCAACACGCACCCGTGGCTGGGGAAAGAGGCGCCCCAACACCACGTGGCTTGGGAAAGATGCACCCCACACCACGTGGCTGGGGGAAGGAGGCACCCCACCACCACGTGGCTCGGGAAAGAGGCACCCCCACCACCACGTGTCGTCGGAAAGAGGCACCCAACAACACCACGTGGCTCGGAAAGAGGCACCCCAACACCAGTGCTGGGGAAAGAGGCAACCCAGACACCACGTGGCTCGGTAATAGGCACCCCCAGACGCACGTGGCTGCAGAAAGAGGCAACCCCAACCGCCACGTGGCTCGGGGAAAGAAGGCAACCCAACACCACGTGGCTCGGGAAAGACGGCACCGCCAACACCACGTGGCTCAGAAAGAGGCACCCCACACCACGTGGCTCAGAAAGAGGCACCCCAACACCACGTGGGCTCGGGAAAGAGGCACCCACCAACACCACGTGGCTCGGAAAGAGGGCACCCCCCAACACCACGTGGCTGGGGAAAGAGGCACCCCAACACCACGTGGCTGGGGAAGAGGCGCCCCAACACCACGTGGCTGGGGAAGGAACCGAGGCTTCCCCCAGGACTGCAGTGAGAAGGAAGGAATCGAGAGGGGCGGCAACACCTCGTTTTTATTCTTTATTTTTTTCGGGGGCGCGGCATGTGGCACACCGTCACCCCGGGTCTGGGCACCCCTGCGTCAGGCACCGGTCCTCTTCTCCTCTTCCTCGCACCGGGAGCGACAGGAAGCTAAACGACCAGGGACACCAGGGCCCCCGCGCCGCCCAGGACGACTTTGGAGGACAGGGACAGGCCGGCCGCTCCTGCGGAGGAAGCGGGGCTGTGCAGAGGGCCCGGCGGCAGGGACAGCTCCGAGGGTCCGAGATGCCGGCGGGACCCCTCAGGGGAGCCTGAGGCCCAGACACCGGCCAGCTCCCTCCTGGGCTCCCCCCACCCAGGACCCTGCTGTGGGCGGAATGCTGCAGGCGGCTCCCCAGGGGGGTGAATTCCGGGGTCACCCCGAGCGGGAAGCTGCCCACCTCTCCAGGGGAGGGCTGAGGCCCAGCTGGCAAACCCTTTGGTCAGTGCCCACCGAGCCCACAGGGCCCAGGCCTGGGCTCCGTCCCTCCCTCCAGCCAGAGGACCGGGCGGGGTGTGTGTGTGTGTGTGTGTGAGACACAGGCCCGCTGGGCCAGGACCTGGGCTGGTCCCTGAGGCCCTCGTCCTTCTCGCCCACCGGGGACACTTACCCACTGACTGCAGAGTAGCGACCATGCCTCCAGCGGCCACCCCACCCCCGTTGGCGATGGCGGATACCGACATCATTTTGGCTGCCAAGGAGGAGGCGGTGATTCCCGCCCCGGTGAAGCCAACGGCGCCCAGGACCACGGGCACAGCGCCCACGGTCGCGGCTGTCCAGGGAGAGGAGCTGGGTCAAGGTCACACTCAGGAAAACGGGCCTCTCCCCCTTCACACACACACAGCTTGGGGGTCTCAAGGAGGTGGGGAACGGGGTGAACTGGAAACTTGGGCGAGACTGGGCCTGGTCAGCAGTCACAGGACAAGGGGAGAGCAGGTGGGGTCGCTGGGGATGCGGCTGGACTGCCCGTGGGAGAGCCCAGCCCTTGGGTCTCAGGGTCCCCAGGCCTGCAGCGCAGTGCGGCCTCCAGCTCCTGTCTTGGCCGAGGAGGTCTCCAGGGCAGGCAGCCCCGCACCCAGGGCCCCACATGAGCCAGCAGTTCCCGGCACGTCACCAGGAGCAGTAGGAACCCTCTCCCATCCCAGTGACCCTCCCCCAGCCCGGTGACCCTCCCCCAGCCCTGGGACCCTCCCCCAGCCCGGTGACCCTCCCACAGCCCGGTGACCCTCCCCCAGCCCTGGGACCCTCCCCCAGCCCTGGGACCCTCCCCCAGCCCTGGGACCCTCCCCCAGCCCGGGGACCCTCCCCCAGCCCGGTGACCCTCCCCCAGCCCGGGGACCCTCCCCCAGCCCGGGGACCCACCCCCAGCCCGGGGACCCTCCCCCAGCCCGCCAAGGACAGCATGGCTCTAGGGCAGAGGAAGTGGGAGCTCAGAGGCCTCCAGTCCCAGCCCCTGCTCTGCCCAGAGGACACGGGCCCTGGGGCTGCCCCACAGGATCCTCCTCCGGCTCTCCTGCTCCAGATCCCTTTCTGGTTCCTGGGCCCTGGCTCGTGCTCCTCTCCATCCTTCCACCTCCCTCCCTGGCGTACGGAGGCCCGGAGGCCCAGGCCAACATGGGCATGCGCAAGGCTGGGTGTGCCCCAAGTCCCAGGATCTGGGGACACAGGAGGCCTTTCCCTAAAGAAACTCACCTCCTCCGATCGCCGCCACGACAGCCTTGACTGGAAACCAAAGGACATTCTGTGGTCAGAGCCACACCGGCCTCCCTCCCTCCTTCCCTCTGTCCCTCCCTTCCTCCCTCCTTCCCTCCCTCCCTCCCTCCCTCCCTCCTTCCTTTCCTCCCTCCCTCCCTCCCTCCTTCCTTCCCTCCCTCCCTCCTTTCCTCCCTCCCTCCCTCCTTCCCTCCCTCCTTCCTTCCTTTCTTCCTCCACTCCTTCCCTCCCTCCCTCCCTCCCTCCTTCCTTTCTTCCCTCCCTCCCTCCTTCCCTCCCTCCTTCCTTTCTTTCTTCCTCCACTCCTTCCCTTCCTCCCTCCCTCCCTCCCCCCCTCCCTCCCTCCCTCCTTCCTTTCCTCCCTCCCTCCTTCCCTCCCTCCTTCCTTTCTTTGTTCCTTCACTCCCTCCCTCCCTCCCTCCCTCCCTTCTTCCTTCCTTCCCTCCCTTCCTCCCTCCCTCCCTCCTTCCCTCCCTCCCTCCTTCCCTCCCTCCCTCCTTCCCTCTCTCCCGGAGCCCAGGGCCACCGCGGAGAGGGGCTGCCCAGGGGGGAACATAGGAAGGAATGACCCCGCCTGACACTCTCCCTCCCCCTCCCCAGCCCTCACTCTGAGAAGTGGGGTTTCAGAGGGGCAGCTTCAGGGTGCTGAGCTCCGCGAGGGGGGCTGGGCAGGCGGAACTAAGTGAGCGCAGCGTGGCCTGAAGCCATTGGGGCCTGAACTCGCAGCCCAGGTGCAGTTTGGGGGGTTACTGTATGCCGTTGGGGGGGGGGGTCCTCTAGCGAGCTGCGTCAGCAGTCCTCCCTAGGGAGGTGGAATCCCTGGCCACGTGGCTTAGGGCGCGGTATTTGGCAGGATGTCAGGTCACCTAAACCAAGGAGGTGTTTGCTCGGTGATGCTTCAGGGCCTGAATGTCCTCTCCTCCAGGCAGCCACCCAGACCCTCCCAACCAGAACTCCTTCTTCTCCCGAGACTGGAGCTACTTAGCACTTAAAAAAAAAAAAAAAAAAAAAAAATATATATATATATATATATATATATATATATATATATATATATATATATATATTTCTGGCCTTAGCTGGTTTGGTTCAGTGGATGTAGCATCAGCTTACAGACTGAAGGGTCCTGGGTTCGATTCCAGTCATGGGTACATGCCCAGGTTGTGGGCTCCATCCCAATAGGGGTGTGCAGGAGGCAGCCGATGGATGATGTTTCTCTCTCATCAATGTTTCTCTCCTTCTCTCTCTCTCTCTCTCTCTCTCTCTCTCTCTCTCTCTCTCTTCTCTCCTTTCCTCTCTATGAAATTAATAAAAACATATTTAAAAAAAAAAATCAAGAGCCCAGTTAGGAAAGATGTGCTGCCTAACGTGACTGCTCAGCAGCAGGAGGAGGGAGGCTGCACAGGGGCAGTGAAGGCCGTGCCTCCGGAAGCCTGGAGGCCCGGAGGGAAGGGTGCTGCCTGCAACCCGCCTTGAGCAGAGCTGGAGGTTACGGGGGAGGGAGCTGGGCCTTGCATTTCCTCCGGGGGCCTGGCCCTTCCTGCCGGGCTCTGGCACCTAGGCTTGCTGCCTTTGTTCTCTGAGAACATTATAGCTAGCACTTCCACCCTCTGAGTCTCCGGCCAGGGCCAGATGGTCTCTTCATTTGTAAATGAAGGACAACAGTGTCTTTGTCAGGGGTAGTTATGAGAATTCAACAGACTGATCAAAGGTGAACACTCAGCCTAGTGACTGTCTGGCGTTTGAGAAAAGCCATCGTGTTTCATCCTCAGCCGAGGACCCTCCTCGTTCGTTCCTCACAAACAGGAGGGAGCGGGGAAGGGGGCCAAGGAGCCGGTCTGCTAGCCAAGGCCAGTTACCTGCGAGTGGGCTAGCGGTCACGGCTGCCACGGGGGATGCCAGCAGGGAGGAGGCTTGCAGAGTCCCCAGCATGGAGCCCAGGGCGGCTTTGGATGACACCGTGAGCCCTGAGGAAGAAGGCGGGTGCGTGCACAGGGGTCAGCGGCCAGGCCGGGGTCAGGGGCCTGCGGCCGCCTTCCCCCTATTTCACACCATGTCTTTGGGGGGAGGGGCTGGAGAGAAAGGTCAATGTGGGGGGGGACACACACACACCACATACGCCCCCGGGGCAGAGGTGGAGGCGAGGACAGAGGCTTGCCTAGCCGTACTGACAGATCCCAGAAACATAGTTTTTCATGGAAAAAAAACACAACATCGTGTGACATATACATTATTCTGTATGTAAAGGGGAACACGTGCAAACAGAAAATACCCACTTGCAAAGATACACATATGAGGAACAGACACACGTTAGACATATTAGAAAGGCTGACCTTGGGGTTGGGGTGGGAGCAAAGGAGAAGAAAAGCAGTGAAATAAAAGAAATAAACCCAAGAGGGGCTTGCGTGAACTAATAGAGAAAATAGGCCCAAACTGAAGAATTCTGCTAAAATCCATGCTCTGGACCCGAGACCTCACATTGCAAACTGCTCTGAGAGGGGGACACATCGATAAGAAAACTAAAGGAGGTGACGCCCTAGCCGGTTTGGCTCAGTGGATAGAGCATCGGCCTATGGACTGAAGGGTCCCGGGCTCGATTCTGGTCAAGGGCAGGCTTCTCACCCACCCAGACCCTGGTCAGGCCCCATGCAGGAGGCAACCAATCGATGTGTTTCTCTCACATCCATGTTTCTCTCTGTCTTCCCCGCCACTTCCACTCTCTCTAAAAAAATAAAAATAAATGGAAAAATATCCTCAGATAAAGATTAAAATAATAATAATTATTAATAATAAATAAATAAACCAGATTTAATAATAATAAATAAAAAAACTAAAGGAGGTGAGTTTTGGGGGTGAATCCAGGGGAAATGAGAGCCAGGGAGCAAGGTTCCCTCAGACTGGAGGGGAGGATACCAGGGCCCCGTGGGGAGGGCACCCAGACCCCCAGCCTGCCCCTTCCCCGCCAGGACAGACCCCCAGCGGGGGGCCAGCAGGGAAGGCCACCCTCTCGCTCCCCATGGGGCCCTGAGCAGGACACTCCCTGGCCGCCTCCCAGCTGCCGCTGGCCCCTCCAGCCCCCCCAGGAGCACTCACCCAGGGATGACAGGCCAGTGAGGACGCTGCCAGAGGCCGCCCCGCCGGCTGCGGCCAGGGATGACAGGCCAGTGAGGACGCTGCCAGAGGCCGCCCCGCCGGCTGCGGCCAGGGATGACAGGCCAGTGAGGACGCTGCCAGAGGCCGCCCCGCCGGCTGTGGCCAGGCTCGCTGCGGACATGATCTTGGCGACGAATGGAGGAGGCTGCGATGGCTGCCATGGCGCACAGAGCAATAGGCAGGCAGGGGAGATACACCTGCAAGAAGCTGCGTCAGGGACAGGGACACTGGAACTGGGGTTTCCCCACCGTCTCTCTAGGGGCTGGATGAGGGGTGGTAGAGAGGCTTCTCTGCGCTGGGAGTGGGGAGGGGGCAGCAGGCCTGGAAAGGGCCCAGGCGTGGGAATTGGGGTGGGAGTGGAGGGTGAGGTGGACGGGGCAGGTTTTATTTCCTCAAGTGGGCGGCTTCCTTCCCCCCGAAAACACATCGACTCCTTAGGTATTTCTAGAACTCCCTTCAGTCTCCATGGAGCAACTTAAGGGCACCAGAATTAGAACATCAGCCCGGCTGGCTGATTGAGCGTCGACCCATGAGCCGGGGGTCAGGGTTCAATTCCCGGTCAGGGCACATGATTCGGGTTTTGGGCTCGATCCCCAGTGGGGAGCGTGCAGGAGGCAGTGGGTCCATGATTCTCTCTCATCACGAATGTTTCTCTCTTACCTCCCCCTTCCTCTCTGAAATCAATAACAACATATTTAAAAACAAACAAACAACAGAAAAAGGAAGTCCGAACCAATTCCGCTTTAAAGAGATGCTCCAGGCTGCCGCTCTGATGCAGCCCCTTCACCAGCACAGAGGTAAGGAGACACCGTGCACCTTTATAACTGAGAAGACTGGTGTGGCACAGAGGGGGCAAGGGATCCCCAAGGTTACAAGGACTTCATGGCCAAGTGCCATGGAGCCCGGGCTGGTCTGGCTCAGTGGATACAGCGTCGGCCTGTGCACTAGAGTCCCAGGTTCGATTCTGTTCAAGGGCACATGTCCGGGCTGCGAGCTCGAACCCCAGTAGGAGGCATGCAGGAGTCAGCCAATTAATGACTCTCCCATCACTGATGTTTCTCTCTCTCTCTCCCTTTGCCTTCCTCTCTTAAATCAATAAAAATATACATCTATTTTTAAATTGCCACTGACCCATGTTCAGCTGCTTCCAAAGCTCTGGCTTGCCATGGTTCTGATCTGCTTCCTTCTAACCATAACTGGCCTCCTCCCCCTGCCTGTCGCACCCCCACCCAGGAATGGACAAGGCAGATGGTCCCCAGAGTCCTAGACCCCAGAGACAGCTGGGGGCTGAAGCCCCTTCCCTCCCCCTCTCTCTGATGAGAAACAAGAGTGTTCTGTGAGTCAACCCACAGGGGTCTGCACTCACTCCCTGAGCCCACATGCCACCCCAGGTGGGGACACCCCAGAAGGGGGCCACCCCAGGAGGGGGCCACCCCAGGTGGGGGCCATGGTAGGAGCAGCCCGGCCACCAGCCCATGTCTTACCTGGAGAAGAGTTCTGAAATGCAGAACTGACTCCGCTCGCTGGAGGGTTTTAGTGGTTACAGCACCGGGAGGCGGAGCAGTTTGGCCCTCAGGGATGCAGAGAGCAAACAGGATTAAGTTTTCTTTTACAGGAAAATGAAACTGCTCTTGTTTCACAAGAAACTGAAACTGCATTCCAACCCTTCCCCCACCCACTGCAGGGGAAACCCAGCTGCTGTGGGCATGGGATCCGCCCCTGTGTCCACCGCCGTGGGGAACATAATACACTTCATCCTTCAATTCAGGGATGTGCTCTCTGCATAGTGAGGATCATAAGAAATCAGATAAAGAAGTCATAAGAAGTCATATAACAAAAGGGTAAACATTAACTTCTAACGGACATAAGAAGGTGGTTTTCAGAAAAGCATTAATCTGTGCAATGGACAGATGTTCAGTTTTTTAAAAAAAACCTATTCTGAGGGCCCGCCATGTGGCCATGGGTCTAGTATGGAGTCAGAGCAGAGGCTGCTGTAATAATGTAATCCCTCTAATGTATGAAATAATTGTTGTGTGAACTGTTTGCTGTATGGCGATAGATCCTCCCTTCCTCCAGTTGATGGACAAATGTAAACCCCACCTGCGGCCAGTCATTCCTGAGCTCTGAACCACCCATCAGCACCTGCCAAATACCCTAAGCCCCCGATTCCTAAGTCCCTAATCACCAATCAGCGTGTGCTGAGTCCCCTATCCTTAAAGGGGCTTGTACCCCGGCCCTCGCTCTCTTCCGCCCCTCTCTGTGGAAGCAGCCGACAGGGGTACTCTTCCCTCCAATAAAGCCTGTGTGTGTCCGGCCATCCTGGTCTCCGGCTACCTTCTTTATTCAATCTATCATATGGAAACTCCCAATACTCTGTGACTTCCAAAATTAATGAACACCCCACTATCTTGATGTGAAGCTCTGAGCCCTTAAAGTGTAAACGCCCTGCTCCTGGCATAAGGCACACCGTCTGGCCCACACCGATAAGGACACAGTTGTTTACGGCGGTCCATAAAACCCGGGGACCAGCTCCAGTTGTGGTCTACACTGATAAGATAAAGTTGTTTATGGCGGTCCATATAACCCAGGGCCAGCTCCAGTTGTGGTCAACACTGCGTTTGTCCCACTAAGTCTAGGCAGATAATCAATTAACTGGTGCTTAATTGGGACAGGGGCCAAACTAGACCCCCATATGTGTCCTCCTGGAGCTTGCAGCTTGAAGGGAAGACCAAATAAGGTAAGAAACGGAATATGCTGAGTGTGATTTGAAGAACTTTCGAAGCAAAAGGAGGTAGGGTCCAGGTATGAGAGGAAGAGGGAGAGAGGCAGGAAGTGAGGTCAGAAGGTAAGGGGAGCCAGGCTGTGTGAGACCTCGCAAATCCTTGCAAACACTGGATCTTGTGCTCTGAGTGAGTTGGGAAGCTACGCAAGGAGTGACAAGGTCAGGTTCCCTATGCCTGCGCCATGGAGAATAGACGGAAGTGTCTGTCCTTTCCATGTCAGGGTTCGGCATGGGTAATGTGATAGGAGCATGTTCTTTATATTCGCTTCCCTGTACAGGAATCCACACCCCTCCCTCCAGCACCCCGCCCGTCAGGTACGTTCCACACCAGAGAGTGTGCGAATTCGCACACTGAGAGAGTGTGGGTGGCATCAGTCTCACCACCCTCCCAATGGCCACCCTGATTGCAGGGGGCTCACAGCAGGTGCCGAGGCTTAGCTCACATCCGGTGGAAGCACACCCTGCCAGCATGTGGGGTATGAGTTTTATCAGCAATTCTACAAACTTTCAAGAGTAAATGTAACTTCTAGAGCTTCTGCCACCATCCCTTCCCAGCTCACTGTCAGATCCCTTCCTATGTCATCAAGAAATTAGATGCTGCCTAGATGCTGCCTGAACCAAAACCTAACATTGTCACTGGTAATAAAATGTAAAGGGAGCCGGCCAACCTTGATGGCTCTGAATGGTCAGAGCTATTAACTCATCATCTAGTTGAAAGAGTGGTAGTTGAGGCAACTTGAATTTGTTGATCATATGTAAATTCTTTTAAAAAAAATATATTTTATTGATTTTTATACAGAGAGGAAGGGAGAGAGATAGAGAGTTAGAAACATCAATGAGAGAGAGTCATTGATCAGCTGCCTCTTGCACCCCCCTACTGGGGATATGCCTGCAACCAAGGTACATGCCCTTGACCGGAATCAAACCCGGGACCCTTCAGCCCTTCAGTCCCCAAGCCGATGCTCTATCCATTGAGCCAAACCGGTCCCGGAGATCATATGTAAATTCTTGTTGATTTTCTGTTGTTGGAATTTCCTGCCTAAGAGATGTCTTTGTTTCAGAATCTCAATAAAAGGAATGGTAAAAGGCCAGAGGATAGAGTAGTCCTCCTCTATAGGTGGACTTCCCACATGGCCCCCATTTTTCCAAAATTAACTCTTTTCTAGTCCCAGTCTCTCTCTCTCTCTCTCATTTTAGTGTGCGGCCTTCTCCAGAAACCTGACTCTGAGTGGGCCCTGAACCACGCAGGTCGTGATAAGGTATCCCACAAGATGCAATCACAAAAGAATTCTTTTTCCAATGTCAACTGCACCAACCGCCAGCATCTATGTGCATGAACTGCCTTTCATCCGTGGCTCTGGGGAAACTACCCAGCTCCTCGAATTTCAACCACTCTTCCTGTTCAAAGGCTTGGGTCTTGTTTCTAATCTGCTCTCTGTCCCAAATCCCCAGGAACTGAGCTTGGCTGTGCTCCTGGCCTGGCTCGGGTGTTTATAAAGCAGTTCCATGCAGAAGGAAGGCCTGGGGCGGCCTTGCAAACTCAAAGACCTAAAGTCACCACAAGGACGGTCTGAAGTGAAAACTAACTAAAAGCAGTGGTGGTGGGCAGGCAGGCCCGAGGCCGGTACCTCCCCTGACAAGATCAAGCTGTACCTTCACGGAGCCTGTTGTCTTTTTGCATCCATGAGAGCATCTCATTGGAAAGTCCCAGTAATTTCCCTTTTTCCGGACTCATCAAAGCACAGGCACCACTCTGCGGAAACCACACATCCCCTCATTGTTATTGAGTTAATTGTTAATTGTTAACTATCCTGCACCCACTTAAGAAAAAGAA